GGAGGGAGAAGTGGAATGGGGAGAGAGAGGGAGGGAGAGAGATAGGGGGAGAGGGAGGCAGGAAAGGGGAGATAGGGGGAGAGGGAGGGAGGAAGGGAGATAGACTGGGGGAGAGGAAGGGAGGGAAAGAAAGTGGAAAATGGAAAGAAAGAAAGAAAGAAAGAAAGAACGAAAGAAAGACGGAGACAGACAGACATACATGCAAACGAACAAAGAGCCCAAAAGCGAAAATCAGAGAAAACAGGAGACACAATCTGGGAAAATAAATACATAAACAATAACCATGAAGAGAACCCCTAAGAAAGCGAAATCAAGAACCGCAGGATCAAAGAGCAGAACCGAGAAAGGGGAACCAAGGCCTCCTCCCCCCTCCCTCCCTCCTCTCTCTCTCTCTCTCTCTCTCTCTCACACACACACACACACACACGCAGACAGGCACATACGTAGAGAGAGGGATAAGGGGGATCTATATCTTGAGAAATAGATAATAGAGAGAGAAAAGAGCCAAAATCAAGCTTGAGAACCCAAATAAACACAGAGAAGCAAGAACCAGGGAACACCGAAAATCGTGAATCAAGAAAAAATAAATCGAAGAACCGAGAACCACCAAGATAGAAAAAAGAACCGCCGAGAACCAAATAAGACCAAGAAACGAGGAGAACGAAGAAAGATCAAGAACCGCCGAGAACCAAGGAAGACCAAGAACCGAAGAGAACGAAAAAAGACCAAGAACCGAAGAGAATGAAGAAAGACCAAGAACCGAAGAGAATGAAGAAAGACCAAGAACCGAAGAAAACGAAGAAAGACCAAGAACCGAAGAGATCGAAAAAAGACCAAGAACCGAAGAGAACGATGAAAGACCAAGAACCGAAGAAGAACGAAGAAGAGAAAGACCAAGAAAAGACCAAGAACCGCCGAGAACCAAGAAAGACCAAGAACCGCCGAGAACCAAGAAAACCCAAGAACCGCCGAGAACCAAGAAAGACCAAGAACCGCCGAGAACCAAGAAAGACCAAGAACCGCTGAGAACCGAGAACCAAGAGACCAGCAAAGGGGAAACGGCGGCAACAGAAAGGCGCGCATAAAAACGGCCTCGCCCCATTAAATTTTCATTTTGTATTTTTTTTTTCCTCCTTTCGTCTTCGTCTTAGCCGGAGGGGGAAAAAATGCGTGTGGAGAGGACGCCGCGTTGATGACGACGAAGGGAGGGAGGGGAGGGGGGAGGAAGGAGGGAGGGGGAGGGGGAGGGGGGGGAGAGAGGGTGGACGCGAAAGGAGGGAGGGAAGGAAGGAGGGAGAGAGAGGGAGAGGGAGGGAAGGAGGGAAAGAGGGAGGGAAGGAAGAGGGAGAGACAGGGAGAGGAGGGAAGGAGGGAAAGAGAGAGGGAGGACGGAAAGGAGGGAGGGGGGAAGGAAGGAGGGAGAGAGAGGGGGGAGGAAGGGGAGGGCGGTGGTAGGGAAAGAAGGGAGGAACGAAAAGAAGAGGAGGGAGGGAGGGAAGCAGGGAGAGAAGAAGGGCAAGTGAGCGCGAGAGAGGGAGGAAGGAGGGAGAGAGAGGGGGAGGGAGGGAGGAAGGAAAGGAGAGAGAGGGAGGGAAGTAGGGAAAGAAGGGAGGAAGGGAAAGACGAAGGAGGGAGGAAGAGAGGGAAGGAAGGAGGGAGAGAGGTAAGAAGGAGGAGGAAAGGAAGGAAGGAGGGAGAGAGGGAAGGAAGGAGGGAGAAGAGGGAAGGAAGGAGGGAGAGAGGGAAGGAAGAGGGGAGAGGGAGGAGGAGGGAGAGAGGGAAGGAAGAGAGAAAGGGGGAGGGAGGGAAGGAGAGAGGAAGGAGAAGTGAGCGAGAGAGAGAGGAGAGAGAGAGAGAGAGAGAGAGAGAGAGAGAGAGAGAGAGAGAGAGAGAGAGAGAGAGAGAGAGAGAGAGAGAGAGAGAGAGAGAGAGAGACAAATCGTTACATTCATCTCAACGAACAGAATGGTCGATCTCCTATAAGTGTACCTTCCGAAGACCCCTTGGTGGAAAAACGTCTTAAAGAATAAACCACGCACGGATGGAAAAAGAAGAAAAAAAAAATGAAAACGAAAAACACAAAGACACCTGCAACCACAAACCGCAGACATATATCCACCCAAGAAATCGGTGTTTATGAAAAAAGGGCAAAGGCAAAAATACTAAAATGACACTCGAATCAATCTTCCACGGTGGATTGTTTCAATACCCACGAGATATGACAAAGAATAATAATATTAATACAAAAAAGACGCGTAAAGGATCGTATAAAGTTAATGACAGCCTCTAGTATCTCCACGCTATGTCAAATGTCTTATGAGGGATAATCTCTCACAAGCCAGTGTGACTTTTTTGCCTAAACACAAACAATATACCTTAGTAATCCCTTTGTCCCATCCAACGTTTTCTATTACTTGTGTAACATCCACGTCTCGTCTCTGGGTTAAGGGGAACCTTACCTAGAACCAATGATGTTTTTAATTGAAAAAAACAAATATATCTCATTTAAAATTTCGACCATGTAAAATACTTTAAACGAACGTGAATACTAATGATAAATAATATGTCTGTGCTTTCTGGATTTCAATGAATAGTAACACTCCCTGGTGTATAAACCTTTCGTATCATTTCTGTTTATTCTACTTACAACTGGTGATACTGTCAATGTACCCCGAGCAGTCTGTAGTTCTGTATCCCTCTTTTTAATAATACTGCCACTGTACCTGTGTTCTTCGCTCTATAATTACGAAAAGATCAATGTAAAACTTTGCCAGGTGGCTCACAGATAGATGCCCCGTGTGTAAACATAATTATTACGTTACATTATCATTACAATCTTCAAACGCGGAAATAATCACATTTGAAATTGCAATGGTGAACAATACCAAATGTTCTGAAAATTCCAAATACTCGCTGAAATCTGTTAATACCCCCGATACAATTTCTGAATTTACGAAGGAAATCTGGATTTCAATCAAACAAAACACGGACATCGACAGACGCTTACAACATAAACGCTCATAAAGTCTGTCTCACGGGCAAAGACGCGCACGCAAATAAATACACAAATGCAAAACACAAGCGCTCGCTTATATTCATTCTCCTTTCATCTTGTCCTGTTTCCCTCATATTTTACCCTTCCCCCATTCTCTTACTCCAACTGTTCTGTTTCCCTTTCTTATCAGGACTAGAAAATTTAAAAACAGCCAAATGCCAGTCACTGCAAATTATCGTGAAATCACAACCACTACCTTCGCATTATCATCATTTCGAGAACTGATTATTTAATAGCTAATGAAAAAACACCGACGACTGAGAGAGGACGAATAATACTAATAATCAGGATAATGATAACGATGATGATCACAACAGCAACAACAGCAATAACAAAGATTCTTGTGATGATGATGATAAAAATAAACACAAAACATAAAAATAACAACAACAATAATAATAATTACAAAAACAACAACAATAATAATATTGATAATAACAATAACAATAATAATAATAATAATAATAATAACAACAACAACAGTGACACTAATGACAATTCAGTTATTCAGAATGAAACACCAACAACAGCGAAAAATAACTTATAATGGGAATGGTAGCAGTAGTAACAATAAAAATAAAATCAACAACAATAAAAACAATATCAAAAATAACAATAATGATGATGATTATAAATAAAACAAAAACAAAAAAATGATAATGAAATAATATAATATTAATTACAATAGTAATATCAATTATGATATTAATAATAATAATAATAATAATAATAATAATAATAATAATAATAACTAGTAATAACAACAATAATAACTAGCAATAACAATAATAAAATCAAAATAACAACAATAAAACTTATTGTCAACGAAAGCAACGTGCAGGCTGGTGTCACCATCTAAAATGACCGATCAAGACCCTTCCAGAAATAACGCTTCTCCTTCTGTGATTTCCAAGGCCAAGCCAAATCAGAGCCTGAGAGAGGCGGAGTCTCCCTTACCCCTATCCTCCTTCACCTTCCCGCTCTTTCTTAAATAGGGGAAAGAGGAGTGAGGGGAGAGGAAGAGGGAGGGGGAGGGAGAGAGAGAGGGGGAGAGAGAGAGGGAGGGAGGGAGAGAGAGGGAGAGGAGAGAGAGGGGGGGGGAGAGAGGAGAGAGGGAGGGAAGGGAGAGAGAGAGAGAGGGGAGAGGGAGAGGAGAGAGGAGGGGGAGAGGGAAAGAGAGAGAGAGGGGGGAGGGGAAGAGAGAAAGAGGAGAGAAGGAGAGGAGAGAGAGAGAGAGAAGAGAGAGACGAGAGAGGAGAGGAGAGAGGAAGAGAGAGAGAGAGAGAGAGAAAGAGAGAGAGAGAGAGAGAGGAGAGAGAGAGAGGGAGGAGAGAGAGAGAGAGAGAGAGAGAGAGAGAGAGACGAGAGAGAGAGAGAGAGAGAGAGAGAGAGAGAGAGAGAGAGAGAGAGAGAGAGAGAGAGAGAGAGAGAGAGAGAGCAAAGAGAAGACAAGAGAGAGAGAGAAGAGAAGAGAAGAGAGAAGAGAGAGAGAGAGCGAGAGAGAGAATTGGGTAGTGGGAATGGGATAAGGGCGATCAACGCACACAAAAGGAGAGAAAGAGAGAGAGTGTGTGTTGTGTGGTGTGTGAAAGAAAAAAGAAAGAAAGAAAAAAAAAACTTTCCAGGAGTGAGTGACACATTGGCACACTCCCTGTTGCGATACGATCTCTTATTTTGCGCGTTGAAAAGGGCCGGAACGGGGGCGCGTGGGTGACAGGTTCTCCGTCCGATACCTGCTAACTTTTTCGACGCTGGAAAGTTAAACGCGCTCACAAGCTGCGGAAACACAACGAACCTCAGAGGAGGAGGAAAGGAAGAGAAACAGAAGTGGGACAACGAAGATGGCGGGGGAGAAGAGGGGGGAGAGTAAGGAGGGGGAGAGAGAGAGGGGGG